CGAGGTCTTTCTTGTACCACAGGTACACCTGGTTTCCTCCGCTCCCCTGATTCAGATCCTGGTTCACCTTTGTATAACCTTCACGATCAAGCTTGCCATACTCTTGATCATTGGTGGAGACGTCCACATTTTTAATGGACTTCGACTGTTCGTGGGTCTGAAGGTACCAGATGAAGACTGGGTCTCCTTCTGTACCTCTGTTGGTGTTTTCATCCACTCTGTTCCAGCAAGCATTGAAGTTGTTGGCATCTCCTTTATACAAAGCAGTGGCCTTGATGTCACAGATGTAGGTTGGTCTCTCTCTCTGCACCCACAGGTGGATCCAGTTTCCTCCTGCCTTCCGGTTCAGATTACAGGCCAGTCTCTCCCAGCCCAATCCAAACATCTCAGCATCATCTTCTTCTTCTGTGGTGACATGAAGTTGCACAATGGGAACATCCAACGCTGTGGAACGATTTTTGAACCACAGGTAGATTTTGTCTCCACCACATCCATCATTAAGATTTTTGTCAATCTTCTGGTACCCTGCAGACTTCAGGCCATCAGTCATCTCCATGTTGAATGAAATCTGAATGGCAGTGATTCCATTATTCGGACCTCTTTTGTACCAAAAGTGGATTCGTTCTCCATTGGTTCCTTTGTTGAGATTACCAGGAACTGAGAGGTAGCCCTGGCCACGGAGATTATCTTCCTCACTTTTGTTCAGAGACACTTTAATATCAGTGATGAAGGCCATTTGGAGTTCCTACAGCAAGTAAAGTTGAAGAACTAATGAGTGAACAGAAAGAGATGGAAGCAGCGTGAATGACAGCCATGTGAATAATGTTCCACATGTGATTATTGCTGATTTATAAACTGATGATGGTCAGATAGAAGTTCAATAAATCTTATTCAATCTCTGATGATAAAATATGGGAGTTAAAAAATAAGAAATGGTATGAAAATGATTTACATCGACCCCTTTAAAACAAACAAAGCTCCTTCTTAGGAAAATATTCTGTGAGAAAGATCAAAGTAAAGTTAAAGTAAATGTTCAGTGAATAAAAACTTTAAAAAAAATTCTGTCAATGATCACATAGTTGTGAGGAATGTCTAAAGCTTTAGTAAGAATTTAAAATTGATTAAGCTGCACTCAGTGGAACGCTTAAAAACAACTGAACTGGATATGCTGTTAGAAAATATTAAGATGATTGTAGACAGTCTAAAGAAAGAAAACACAGAGGCTGAGCAAGTGGTTGTAGACTTACGAGTGTGCAGACGGTGTGTGGCTGGATGAAGTCTTCTGGACAGGTGAAAGCTGCTGATCTCTGACAGAAACTCCTGCCTTTATATACATGACAGGAGCAGCAGGATTGTGAAATCACTGGTGTATTTCCGTTGGAATTACTTGCAAATAATGAATTGAACTGAATTACTCAGGAAATGACCCGCCCAATGTTTTTATTTCTCTTTTCCACAGAATCCACTGTGACTTCTTGCTTCAGGCCGTTCTGGGTCACAATACAAGATAATATCATTTATATAACATCTTTAAACACATCACTAGAAACTGTCATTAAAGATGTTTCAGTTTAACTTTTTATGTGGCAATTAAATTCTTAGAGTCACAGCCTCCTCAACGTTAAAGAAAAAACAGCTAAATCTAACACAGCTACAGTAATAGTTAGACAAAAATCACACTAAGTATATAAATAAAACCTTTTGTTGTAGTATTTTTATGATTTAATTCAGTTCAGTCTGTTGTTGTTCTTATCGTCTTGGAGCGACTTTAACGCCATAATTTCCTCAGGGACTAATAAAGTATTATGATTCAGAATCGGTGAGTGAAGAAAACACTCATTTGGAGAAAGTGTAAAAAAGTAAAAGCCCTGCTTTTAACCCTGTGGGTAAAAATGACAGACAAAAGAGGGTATGATGTTATTGTTTCTGGCCTGTCCTGGTTTAGATTAGAAATAGGGGGTACCATCTTCCTGTATCTTGAGCTTTGCTCCCACACTGGATGTTTTCTAACATACAGAATCATAAAAAGTGCTGAGCTGTGTGTCCAGCTCTGGTTTACTGAAACTCATGTTGGGATTTTTCATGTTTAACCTGTAATGTGTTACTGCTGCCTGCACTTTCTGATATTTAATCATATAGGATTTGATTCAATTCAATTCGATTCAATTAGATTTTAGTTCAGTCTTAGTTTAAAGTTGCAAGTACGAATTTTGACCCTATTTTTCTTCCTTTCAGCTGATTGGTCAATGTCATGTCAATCACAAATTTATCTATCCAATCAGAGAATAGCGGGTTTGGCTGTCGGAGGGGCGCTTTTTTGAACTGCAGGTCCTTGAAGGGTAATACAGTTTGAAGCTGGAGGATCTTTAGAAATACCATTATTACTTTAGTATTACTTTAACACAAAATCAGGGTTGACCTGGGACCACTGCTATGAGTCAGCATAAAGGCTGTTTCACATCGGACGCGGCATATGCTGTGCTCACCGCTAACTAAGAGCGAAGGATCCAGAATTTGTTGCGCTGGCTGCTGAGCTCTGCTTGTGTGTCGTTTTTTAGCGGCCGCTCCAGGTGTACTAGATGCGCCTGATCGTTGTAGTTTCAAAACATCTATCTCTCTGACTTTATCTCCTCTACAAGAGTTTGTTTGGAATTATGTTCAAATGTTTAATAAAAACCTATCGCTCATTCATAACGAGGAAAGCTTTGGAACTGTCCTGACAGTCATTCTAACACAGCATTTTCCGTTCTTATGTTTTTGGTATTTCTCTGGATTATGATTTATATTCTGATTATTTAGTGATACTGTTTTGATTATTATTATTATTATTACAGTAGGTTTAGTTCAGTGTGAAGTCTGTCTCTCTGTCTAGTCTGTGTCTTAGTAAGGTGTGTCTTGTTTCCCATTTTACTTTGAAGGTTCATGTTCCTGTGTGATGTCAGCGTCTTCAGTTATGCCTCCCTTGTC